TTGAATTCAGGATTTTGGAAAGCTAAAATCTTGAAATCGGCCAAAATCTAGAATTCAGGATTATCGAAAGCTAAGATTTTGAAATCGCACAAAATCTTGAATTCAATATTTTGGAAAGCTAGGATCTTGAAATGGGCAAAATCTAGAATTCTGGATTTCGAAAGCTAAAATCTTGAAATCGACCAATATCTTGAATTAAGGATTACTGAAAGCTAAAATCTTGAAATCGGCCAAAATCTTGAATTCAGGATTTTGGAAAGCTAAAATCTTGAAATCGGCCAAAATTTTGAATTCAGGATTTTGGAAAGCTAAAATCTTGAAAACGGCCAAAATCTTCAATTTAGGATTTTGGAAAGCTAAAATCTGGAAATCGGCGAAAGTCTTGAATTCAGGATTTTGGAAAGCTAAAATCTTGAATTGGGCCAAAATCTTGAATTCAGGACTTTGGAAAGCTAAGTCTTGAAATCGGCCATAATCTTGAATTCAGAATTTTGGAAAGCTAAAATCTTGAAATCAGCCAAAATCTTGAATTCAGGATTTTGGAAAGCTAAAACCTTCAAATCGGCAAAAATCTTGAATTCAGGATTTTGGAAACCTAAAATCTTGAAATCGGCCATAATCTTAAATTCAGGATTTTGGAAAGCTAAAATCTTAAAATGTGCAAAATCTTCAATTCTCGATTTTGGAAAGCTAAAATCTTGAAATATGCAAAATCTTGAATTCTCGATTTTTGAAAGCTAGGATCTTGAAATGGGCAAAATCTTGAATTCTGGATTTTGCAAAGCTAAAATCTTGAAATCGGCCAAAATCTTGAATTCAGGATTTTGGAAAGCTAAAATCTTGAAATCGGCCAAAATTTTGAATTGAGGATTTTGGAAAGCTAAAGACTTCAAATCGGTCAAAATCTTGCATTCAGGATTTTCGAAAGCTAAAATCTTGAAATCGGCCATATTCTTGAATTCGGGATTTTGGAAAGCTAAAGTCTTGAAAACGGCCAAAATCTTGAATTTAGGATTTTGGAAAGCTAAAATCTTGAAATCGGCCAAAATTTTGAATTCAGGATTTTGGAAAGCTAAAATCTTGAATTCAGGACTTTGGAAAGCTAAGTCTTGAAATCGGCCATAATCTTGAATTCAGAATTTTGGAAAGCTAAAATCTTGAAATCAGCCAAAAATCTTGAATTCAGGATTTTGGAAAGCTAAAATCTTCAAATCGGCCAAAATCTTCAATTCAGGATTTTGGAAAGCTAAAATCTTGAAATCGGCCAAAATCTTGAATTCAGGATTATCGAAAGCTAAGATTTTGAAATCGCACAAAATCTTGAATTTAAGATTTTGGAAAGCTAGGATCTTGAAATGGGCAAAATCTTGAATTCCTGATTTCGAAAGCTAAAAACTTCAAATCGGCCAATATCTTGAATTCACGATTACTGAAAGCTAAAATCTTGAAATCGTCCAAAATCTTGAATTCAGGATTTTGGAAACCTAAAATCTTGAAATCCGCCAAAATTTTGAATTCAGGATTTTGGAAAGCTAAAATCTTGAAATCGCCAAAATCTTGAATTCAGCCTTTTGGAAAGCTAAAACCTTGAAATCGGCCATAATCTTAAATTCAGGATTTTTTAAAGCTAAAATCTTGAATTGAGGATTTTGGAAAGCTTAAATCTCTAAATGGGTTAAACTCTTGAATTCAGGATTTTGGAAAGCTAAAATCTTGAAATCGGCTAAAATGTTGAATTCAGGATTTTAGGAAGCTAAAATCTTGAAATCGGCCAAAATATTGAATTCACGATTTTGAAAAGCTAAAATCCTTAATTCAGCGAAAATCTTGAATTCAGGATTTTAGAAAAACAAAATCTTGAAATCGGCCAAAATGTTGAATTCAGGATTTTGGAAAGCTAAAATCTTCAATTGGGCCAAAATCTTGAATTCAGGATTTTGGAAAGCAAAAGTCTTAAAACCGGCCAAAATCTTGAATTCTGGATTTCGGAATGCTAAAATTTTGAAATCGACCGATATCTTGAATTCAGGCTTTTGGAAAGCTAAAATCTTGAAATCGGCCGAAATCTTGAATTCAGGATTTTGGAAAGCTAAAATCTACAAAACGGCCAATTTCTTTAATCCACCATTTTGGAACTCTAAAATCTTCAAATCGGCCAAATTCTTGAATTCAGGATTTTGGAAAGCTAAAATCTAGAAAACGGCCAAAACCTTGAATTTAGCATTTTGGAAAGCTAAAAGCTTAAAATCGGCCAAAATCTTGAATTCAGGATTTTGGAAAGCTACAATCTTGAAATCGGTTAAATTTTGAATTGAGCATTTTGGAACTCTTAAATCTTGAAATCGGCCAAAATCTGGAATTGAGCATTTTGAATAGGTAAAATCTTGAAATCGGCCATAATCTTGAATTCAGGATTTTGGAAAGCTAAAACCTTGAAAGCGGTCAAAATCTTGAATTCAGGATTTTGGAAAGCTAAAATCTTGAAATTGGCCAAAATCTGGAATGGAGGATTTTGGAAAGCGAAAATCTTGAAATCGGCCAAAATCTGAAATTAAGCATTTTGGAAAGGTAAAATCTTGAAATCGGCTAAAATCTGGAATGGAGGATTTTGGAAAGCTAAAATCTTGAAATCGGCTAAAATCTGGAATGCTGGATTTTGGAAAGCGAAAATCTTGAAATCGGCCAAAATCTTGAATTCTGGATTTTCCAAAGCTAAAATCTTGAAATAGGCCAAAATTTTGAATTGAGGATTTTGGTAAGCTAAAATCTTGAAATCGGCCAAAATCTTGAATTCAGGATTTTTGAAAGCTAAGATTTTCAAATCCCACAAAATCTTGAATTCAGGATTTTGGAAAGCTACGATCTTGAAATGGGCAAAATCTTGAATTCTGGATTTTCCAAAGCTAAAATCTTGAAATAGGCAAAAATCTTGAATTCAGGATTTTGGATAGCAAAAATATTGAACTCGGTCAAAATCTTGAATTCAGGGTTTTGGAAAGGTGAAATCTTGAAATCGGC